GACAGATACATGCCCCCCTCTGCAAAGATGCTGGACCTCAGTGCTGCTTATCCCTGTGGGCCTCCTCTTCTCTGCAGGCTTTCAAAACAGGGAACAGCGGCTGAGAGAGCACAGCCCTCATTCTTCTTACACTTCTTGTCCTTGTGCTTCTGCTTCTCCAGTCAAGTAAAATTCTGGTTTTCTGGTTTCCCGTTTAACAGGAGGCCTAAGGGGTATGAGTGCATGTCAATCTTCACATCCTCTCCTCTGACCCAGAGGCGGAGATAACAAAGGGCCAAAGAAATAAGATTCATAAAGTATATGGCTGTCTCTGAAAGAGATAGCTGATGCACATGTAAAGTTCAGTGGAGGCTTCCTTGTCTGACATGAGCCCAACATCCTTAGCTTGGTGGTCTATCAGTCTGTTCGGGTGACAGGCATTCCTCTCCTGTTATACTGTACTGTTTTTGCTTCTCCAGGTGAAACTAGTGGATGGGTCTGGTGCTCCAATTGCCAATGAAACTGTGAGGATTTCTTTAGAAGGAAGCCAGGAAACCAACTACACAACAAATGAAGAGGGCAGGGCATGGTTTGCCCTGAACACTTCTGCATTGCACTTCAGTTCTGTTGGAATTAGGGTGAGTCCTGCAGGCAGGGGAGGTGATGAAGTGACCCACAGGGCCGGAAGGGGAGTACCTCTGAACTTTCTACTATATATGTGAAAGCACTTAGCTTCTTATTCCTTGTTGTTTGTGCCAACATCAACATCAGTGTGGTGGAAATAGCCGTACAACAAACCAGGTTGCCATGTCACAATTGCACTTAGCTTGTAAGTATTTGATTTCTGCTTGGCAGTAGCAGTGTAGGGTTAGAAGGAACATCAAGAGATCATAACAGTACATTCTGCTCCAAGGGATCACCAGCCCTACCTAGATAAATCTGTTTCAAGGGTGTGTCTAACTCCCATGGTGGAGTGCTGCTAGTGCTTTGCTGTCTTTTCAGTTAAATGATTTCCCAAATATCTCCTGTAAATATCCTTTGTGGTCAGTTAAGGAAATCTGCAGCTCTCAGGGTTTAATTTAACATTCCAAGTTTCTAATTTTTCCTCCATATTTTTTTCTTTTTTTCTTTTTCCTGCCATAAAGAGAAAAAGAGTATGAACCATGTAGAGGAATTCTCTCCCTGGTGTGCAATTTGTTTAATCTGGGAAAAATAAGTGCTGCTGAGCATCCTTTTGTTAGTGGAAAATGCAATATGTGTGTAATATGCACATTTCATAATATCTCACCCTGGAATACAGTAGATTGTCTAGAATTATATTTTCTCTTCTCCCTACAATTCTCTTGTCACAGATTAAAACCATCAAACATTATACAGAAGCTACCACTGGGTGCTTGAAGTTTTCAGAATTCCGCAGGGTAAAGGAAAGGCAAGAATTCCCAAGTATAGTGAGAAAGATAAGGAAATAAGGGCATGTGAGGCACATGAAATGCTGAAGTAGTCCTAGAGTTGATGCTGATAGTAAAAACCCGACTGATATGATTCAGCTTGTTTGAGACAAACTCCAGCTTCTCTGGGAGAGAGATCATTCCCAATGATTTGCTAAGGATACCACCACCCTGTCGCATCTTTCAAACTCATGGTTTTGTTTTTTTTACAGACTACCTTGTTGCTTAAAGAAAAAAAATATCAAGCCTTTAATGCTAGGCCATGAATCCTGGCTCCAATTCAGCCACCTGTGTTTGAGGATCTATCTTTGTATTTTCTCCTTTTCCAGGCAATTCATAAAGTACACCCCTACTGCTATGACCATTCCTGGGTTGTTCCAAATTATGAAGAGAGCTACCTCCAACTAAAGCGCTTTTACTCCCCCAGTAAGAGTTTCCTCAAAATTGAGCCCAGGTCTGAGACACTCAGCTGTGGCTCCTCCACAGAGGTCCGCCTGCACTATATTCTTACTCCAGAGGCCATAGAAGAAGAGAAGAAAATTGTCTTTTACTACCTGGTAAGCTTGTGCCTGCCATACAGTGAGGTTGTCGCTGGAAATTGTAGTGGGGCTGGAGATGGGAATTGTTGTTTGTGGCAGCAGGCTTTAAACACTTTCCCATCATGCTTCATATGCTCTTTTCCCACAAAAAGGAGGGTCTGTCTTAGGAGCAAGGATGCCCCAGTGCCCCCTGCATGAGCACTGGGATTTTGCTACAGGGAGGCATAGAGTAGCTGAGCAGAGTGCGAGCAGCAGACACACAGCTCAGTTGCTCTCCTCACAGGTTTGCCCTCTTTAAGGTTTGGCTCATGCGTAACCTCAATCACAGCAGGGTTTCTCTTTCCATTCAGGTGATGGCCAAGGGAATCATTAAGCAAGCGGGCACCCACATTCTAGATTTGGACCAGGAAAGTGGTGAGTTCCTCTCCCCTGCCAAATAGTCGCTGTCCTGGGAGGCTAGGCAACTATGGCAGATGTACAGGCTGCTTCCATATACATTCAGGGATCCACATCTCCATGTCCTCTAAGATATGGGAAGAGTTTGAGCTTTCTTTTCTCTGCCTTTATTTAGGCTTTGGACAGATTTGCTCTAATCCCCTGTGCCACCTGTCTTCTGACACTGCATTTCTGAGGCTCTCGTACTCTGAGGAGACAGAGACTGATGGTCTGGTTTTAGAAGCTAAACAAAATTCAGCATGCTTATGCACTGGAAAACAGGACTCAAAACAGGCCTTTTCAGTCGGACAGTGAGCCTTATGCATCTCTGTGAGCACCAGTTCATCCCACTTAGAGATCTGGAGTTTCATCATGGCTAGGATGAAGTTCAGCATGAATTCAGACCTAGAAGAGGTTTCTTGTACCTTAACTTTTTGCTCTTGTTTTGTTTGCTAGCCAATGGGATCTTTCAGCTACAGCTGTCTGTACAAGCTGATATTGCTCCAGTGGCCCAAGTGCTTGTCTACACCACTTCCCCCAGCGGGGAGGTGATTGCTGATTCAGCCATGTTCAATGTAGAAAAGTGTTTCAACAATAAGGTAAGTGTTCACTTCTTGAGGGAGCAGCCATCAGACTGCAGCATGGCCAAGCTCATTTATTTAGATTTAGCCTGGCTAAGCTTATTTATTTATATTTACCAATACTGGACAAGCCACTTATCAATTGTTCTAGGTAGCTTCACTGCATACTAGTTTGTGCTAGCTTGGAGGACATCAACTGCTGGAAAAAAGGTGCTAGCAGGGACTACACTGGTAAAAGCCCTCTTAGCCACTAGTCACAGCCACTGATCTCACAGATGGTCATGGGTAAGAAAAAGTCAGGCTGCATGTCTTACGTCAAACTGCAGTCCATGTATTTCACTCCATTTCCCACAAACTCATTGCAGCAATGAGGTGGCTGCTTATGTGATCACAGAGCAAAAATAAAACACGCACAGCCCCAGTCCAGTGGATGAAGCTAATACTTGTCAGATCTTTAAACTCCTGTACATCTTATCCTATCATTTTAACTTCTGTTGTATGTAAATGGAGATAAACGTTGCCTGAACCTGCTGAGCAATGCACAGTGGTGCGTCAATAGCAATGGTGAGACTGAAAGAGTGCAGAAAAAACTAAAGCCTTCTTTCTGTGAGCATGTTGACCATTGTTCTCTTAAAGCCCCACATATTCCTTATCCAGAAGAGCAGACTGATGTATGAGCAGCCCTAAGAAAAGGACAACCTCACAAATTCCTGTCAGGACTTCAGAATAGTAGACAGCACACTGCTAAAGGCAGTCCCTTGTCCTGCTAGTTCTTGAGACTGGTGTCACTGCAGGAACTTGGCCATCTGAATTTTGTTCATATATTAAAGGTCATACTATGCACTGCATTAAGGTCTGGGTGCAAGCCAAATGCCAAGTGATTTACATGCTTAGATACCGCTGTCCTCTCTGAAAGCATCCTGAATTCAAAGCTGTTGTTGGATTGGATAGGACAGACTTTGGGCTATCGCTCTGCTAGACAGTTTTTCTAGTAGCAAGCTTGCTACAGCTCTTGCTCGGCCATTTCCTGAGGAATATTATTTTTGCAGTGTCAAGATTATGAGTCCACCCTGGGAGAGGTGGTGGGTGCCAGCAGAAGGCATGCTGTGGCCTGGCTGGGACATGAGGAAGGCTGGCAGCTGATGCTGTTTTGTCAGGCAATGTGTTTACTCTGAGGATGCTTTGATCATTGCATGTTAGGGGAGGGTTTGTACTGTTGAGGAGAGGGAAGATTTATGCAAGTCAGCCATCTTACTACAAAATCATGTGAGATGGTGGTGATAACAACTTCTGCTGGCAAGCGCTTCCAGGGAAGAGGTTGGTAGAGGATCATTAGAGTTGTGCGTTAGGTTTTGGGGAAGACACACAAGTCTGGGAGGCCTCAACCAACACGCTAGTTCTTCAGAATCATTATCAGTCAGAAGATATTGCAATATTGCTCCAGAACATCACTGTTTCTTGTGTTACCAAAGAATCTGCTAAGCAGGGTCTTTGCAAGCCTGTTTTCTCTCCACATACAATATCTGGGTGCAGGACAGAGACTGGACCTGGTTCAAGACCATGCCCAGCTGCCTGAACAGATCTAGCCACTGTGTGGGATTATCTCATCACATTCACTTTAGCCATAAAAACCAAAACTGCCTTAAAAGTTTTATGAGCAATTGTGATGCTGGAAATTGCCAAGAACTGTTAGTGCTGATTCCTCTGACACTGCAGGAAGGAAACCCAGCTCTGCCGTGGCACAGGGGCAGCGTGTGCATGCGTGCGTGTGTGTGTGTGCTTTGTAAGGTTGAAGCTGATGCACTCAGCAGAAGGAAAAAGTCCTGCAAGGGCAGCGTATCTGTGACATAGCTTTTCCTGTGGCTACAGGTGGACTTGAGCTTCTCTCCTTCTAAAGGCCTGCCTTCCTCTAATGCTCACTTGCTGCTCAAAGCCTCCCCGGACTCCCTCTGTGCTGTCCGTGCTGTGGACAAGAGTGTTCTCCTCATGAAGCCAGAAGCTGACCTGTCACCCAGCTCTGTAAGTATTTAGTCTGTGGAGCAACTCGGAGCCCGGTCAGAGCAAGCGCAGCCTGGTGCTGGGGTGGAAACAGTGAACAGTCCCTCTTGTCAGTGCTGCGCAGGAAAGCTGCCCTGTGCTGTTTCTCCTCTTCCTTCAGTGAGCAAAAAGATGAGAAGCGGGCAGCAGCAGCTTCCTAGAGGTTTTGTGCGACTGTAGGGATGGCAATTAGGAAGCTCTTTTAAGGTGACTGCTTCTCCTGATCAGAGCCAAACACTGTTGTGAGTTTGATGATGATTTTATTCTCTCCAGCCATGGATTAATTTTCTTGGAGTAGCGCCTGGACATGTCAGAGAGTTTATTCTCCTCATGACAAGCAGAAAGTGACAATCCTTAAGCAGGGACAAAGGACTGCAGATAGGCTGGCCAATGTAATTTTTTACATATTTGAGCCACAATAACCTGAGTAACATGCTGTCCATAACAAAAAGTCCAGTATCTCCAAATTTGGATCTCTTTTTTGACTCCTAAATTCCCATTGCTCCCACCCCAGGGAGGATCATGGCAATGTGAACGTATGTGCAGGTGATACGACTGTTATGGTGCTTGCGTCCAACTACCCCAGTCGTGTTTTGTGACAGTGGACACTGAAAATCTGAAAATGCCAAATACCCTGTCTCTTTCTGTGTAGGTGTATAGCTTGCTGCCAGTGAAGGAATTGCATGGCTATCACCATGGTCCAGTCACTCTCTTGGATGAGCCCCTGGAGGATTGCATCCCTTTGAAGAATATAGTTGTGAATGGGATCACCTATACTCCAGTAGAGGAGACGAACGAAGAGGACACTTACAGCATCCTAGAGGTACAGCCCTCATGCATGGTTAGGGAGTGGAGAAGGACTGAGAATGCTTAAACCTTCTGCGGCCTGATGCAACATAGTAAGAATGATCTGACACTAATTTTTATCCAGAGGCAAGTTCAGTGAGAGTCATAAGCTTTTCCCGTCTTGCCATCTTTGCTCCCAACTTGGTGGAAAAGGGATGAGTCCCAAAGTTTTCTTCTTATAGGAGGAGCTTTGGGAATGACTTGAAATGAGGTTCTAACAGGAGGTAAATAATCTTGTGCCATTACAGTTACCCCAAATAAAGTCCTAGAGCTGCTTCATAGCCACAGACATTTCATTCCAGAGAACTCTGTATCTACTCCCTGGCTTATCCTGACCCCTAGGCTGCACTTGGACTGGAACCAGTGCCCTAGAGGCAGAGGGGATATATACTTTGGTCTTTCTAGGCCACCCAGGCACCCAGACCCAGGGTTGGGGGTTCATCTCAAGGTCCAATCCACAGACAGTGACAGCTTCTCCTTTTGAGGCAATAAAATACCAATGTCAGGTCTGCTGTGTAAAGCTGAACAGGACTCAGTAACAAAAAAAATGTTGGATTTCTCTCCCATAGGAAATGGGATTAAAGGTTTTCACAAATACCAAGGTGAGGAAACCTTGGTATTGCAGAACTGTGAGTTACATGTCTGAAGGAGTCCACTTTCCATCGCCTGCAGGACTCCGGCTTGCATCACCTGCAGTCATGGCTGGAGCACCTGTCAATGCAATCAGTAAGGGAACTGGGTCTTGTTATCACCTCTGTTCTGAACAGAGATTCTGCATGTATTTTGGGGTGAATACTCAAACAAGAGCTGGAGTTGTGGACTGAACCCTTGGAAGTAGTTCTGAAGTAATGGGTTCACAGATGTCAGCTTCTGCATGAGTGTGGGGCATATCCCTTTTGCTGGGTTGTGAAGGTTTAAAGACAAGTTTTGATAACTCCACATTAGAAGTAAGCAGAACCATGTAGTTTTCAAAGACTCTGGCAGAACAGAGGATATTATTCTACTGCTGAATTCTCTGCACACAAGGCTTTTGCACTAGACTTCTTTTCCTAGATAGAACCCACTTAAGAGGTTTCCAATACCATCTTCAGCTTGCCCTCTTTGACTCACCCAGTTTTATGTATGGTCAAAACCAGATTAAGTAGATGAGAAAATTTTCAGCGGCAAGTTGGTGGACTTTGGAGGCTTAGAATGGTAAGATGCGAGTGCAGAAGTCAAGTCTGAAATGGACCCACCCTATATCTAAGGGCTATCTTAACTCTTACACTGTAGCTGTTTCGGAGACAGAATCGGTCATGTCATCATCCAGAGTCTCATATTAAGGGAAATACCTGGAAAATCTAGGTTATCCTAGCTGGATAACTGATTCAGAGATTTTTCCCTTGGCACAACAATCTGCTTTTTTACATATCCAGTTTTAAGACAATTTCAACTTCTGACACAGGTTGCTAAGATGTAGAATAGATGTTTTTTAATTAGTTTAAACTGAAATAGGCAGCAGTAAGACGACTGAAATACTGTAATAGACAATACAAGCAAGCCACTGTCAGTCTTGCTAGGAGCTATGCGATACAGCTCTGATAGCATCTTTCATTCCTGCCCTGAGACCTACTCAGACTTTGGAGGTAGCTGTTGCAGAGATAGTATGGATACTTGCTAGCTACATAATTTTTATCTAAATGTAGAAAATAATTTAGCCAAAGTAAAGATGACCAAAACTAGAATTTAGTTAAGAACTTTTCTTCTTTTGGATTTCTCTTTCCTTTTTCAAAGCCAAGCAAAATTTTTTTACCAAATTTCATGCTAAAATCAGAATATTTTCTTGGGAATAATTTTTACATGTGAAAATTTGTTTCAGTCAAAAAATCTATTTTTACCCCTCCCAAATTCCAACTGCATGTTTTTAGTTTGAGCATATGCAGCCTAGTTCTTCATGAGGTGGTAGATTTGGCAGGGAGGTGGTTTTCTGAGTCACAATGACTCTACAAAAACCATAACAGAGGGATGTTCCATTGCTATCTGGCATGATATGGTAGAGAGGGATGTCATGTTAAGACTGTGCCTGAAAGGCTGCTTGCACAGAAGGTCATAAATAGCTCTTTGCTCTAACATCATTGTTTTAACCTTGTGAAGTGTTGCCCCACATACTTAGAGCTTTGCTGGAGACTGGGAAATACTGGAAGGCTAGCTCTTGCTAATAAGCCCTGACCCTGAAACTTCACTGCTGTTGGTACCAGTGCTCACTACAGCCACAGCAAACATCAGCTGCCAGCAAGGCTTCTGATTGTCCCATAGATTGCCGCTTTCTCAGACCAAAGCATGATGCTGACATAGATCTTGGTTGTTTGGAATTATCGGTAGTTGATATCTTTTCCATCTCATCACATTCAGGCTTTCGGTCAGATAGACTTGATGCCACGGTAAGCACTCCTGAAGAGCTGACGGAGACAGTCCGAAAGTATTTCCCAGAAACTTGGATTTGGAACTTAGTATCTATAAGGTGAGCACCTTGGGCTAGTTCTTTCGTTTTTAATCAAACTGGTTTTATAAGGTGAAAACATGAATCCCCACATATTTGCCATGTCAGAAAGTCCTTCATTGTTTGCAGAAATCACTTGTCAATCCTCTGAGATGAAATTACCTTCAGCTGTAGTTAAGTTTGTCCAAGGAGTGGTCATGGATCTGGAAGAAGATGTGGGGTGGCCCTACAGTAACAAACATACTGTGCCCCATCATTCACACAGGCAGTACTGTTCGGTAGTCCCAAAGGGGTACAGATAGTCACCAAAATGCCATAAAAAATCATCCCTCTGTCCTTGCTCTCTGTGTTTCACCAGCTCTGAGGGAAATGCTGATCTAGATGTGACCATCCCTGACACCATCACTGAGTGGAAAGCCAATGCATTCTGCACTTCAGCAGACACGGGCTTTGGCCTGTCCCCGACAGTGTCCCTCAGAGCCTTCCAGCCCTTCTTTGTAGAGCTCACTCTGCCCTACTCTGTGGTGCGTGGTGAGGCCTTCACGCTGAAAGCCACCGTTTTCAACTACCTGACCACCTGCATCAGGGTAAGGAAGGTTTAAATCCTTCTCTGTACTTGTGTACCTTCTTGTAAACCTCTTACCTAGCCTTCTTATCTCTGAGTAGCCCTAGAGCCTTCACCCCTGAAATTCTTATATTATTCCTCTTATATACTCCAAACGCAGAGCCCACAACTCCATCTTCCTGCTCCTTTGCTACTGAAGAAATAGGTATTGCTATGGCTTCCTAGCTCCCTGTCTCTCATGATCACCCTTCCTTGATTGCACCTCTCTCTACAACTGGCAGGTCAGTGTGACTCTGGCTCAATCTGCTCATTTCCTGGCTAGTTCGGTGGAAAAGGAGGAAGAATCTCATTGTCTCTGCGAGAACGGGAGGAAAACTGTGGCTTGGCTGGTGACTCTCAAATCTCTAGGTAAATGTCTCAGCATGCAAACTGCAGGGAGAGTTTCTCCATGCTGTTCTCCCCATTCAGTATCTAGTGTTAGAGCAACACGGTTTCCTGGGAAGCACTGCAGATGAGTTTCTGTCTCATCTGCGGTTATTTGGGAGGCACAGGTTGGCAGACTCATAGTGTCCAAGGCTCTCTCTGGCACCACATGCAATATCATCAAGCCTTACAGCCCTTGGACAACATCTTCTGAAGCCAGAGACATCACTAGCCAGCGGGAATGCTCCATCCCTCCCAGAGATTAGATGGCTTCCTCATGGGATCTTCATACTTTGTTTTCACTGTTGTTGTTACGTGCTGTGGTAGCAGCTGTGGTGTGCATGTGGGGTAGCGGAGTGCTGAACAGCAGTGGCGCTGGTGAGTCCCACCACTGTGGTGTCCTAGGTTCTGGAAAAGAGTCACCAAAATAGAGTCACTTTTCAATGGCAGTGCAGCTCATCTGCTCCAGGACGGCTTCTGACATAGCTCGCTATGTTCTTGTGGGAAAGAAGCAGAGCCCAGGTGTGATGGGAAATCCCCACCCATGGGCCTGCAAGTTGAAACTCCTGGAAGTGGCAGTGACTCCTATTACCTGGCTCTGCCTGGCAGGGCTGGCTGACCCCTGTTTCCTCCAGGGCAGGTGGAGTTCTCCGTGACCACTGAGGCCCTGCAGAGCCAGCAGCCCTGCGGGAATGCCATCGTGGAGGCCCCTGAGAAAGGGCGGAAGGACACGGTCATCAGACAGCTGCTGGTGGAGGTAGGTGGGCTGTGGGAAGGGGAGGACTTTCCTACAGGCTAGAGCGTATGCTGTGATGCAGTTGGACAGGATGCTAGATAATCTCACCTAGGCTCCCTTTCCCATGAAAGCTTGGACCAGATGATCTTTTGAGAACTGTTCTAACCTGGGCTGGTCTGTGATTCTATGAGATCACTATGCAGCATGGAAATATGGTGGTCTTACATCATCTTTATATTTTGGCAGGGCTGCATAAAGATTGCAGCTTAATAATGCTGTGCAATGTGTCTGCCAGTACTCTAAACCTTCCCTATTCCCTACTGTAGCAGGGCTCCTACTCCAATCCATCCTTCCCTTTAACTCCTGCCTGTCACCTCCTATTTCAATACACCTTCTTTACAGCCTCTCTCCTCTTTTTGAGACACCCCCAGTAAGTTTGCCAGTCAGCACATGCTGCCTCTCTGCTAGTGGAGTGGCCAAGCAACTGCTTCTTAAGCTGAGTGTTACGCAGTTCTGCTTTGCTACCCTAGTCTGGCACCAGGATGAAGGTGGGGGATTCACAAGCCCCTACGGGAATTTGATGCCTGTAGAGAAGTCCCCTCAAAACTCCAGATATTATAAAAGTCCATGAAAATGTATTAAAATTTTACAGCTTATCCTTTTCCTGTGGCAAGAAAAGTTGCTGATGCAATGTGGTACAGAGGAAATATGTGGCAGTACTGCATATCCTTTACAGGAAAAGGCTAGTTTATTTTACAGGGTGTCGTAATCTGGCAGGTATATTCTATGTTCTTAGCTTTTCTCTGTATCATAAAACCCCCTAATGTTTGCCTACTGTGTATCAGTAGTGTCACCAGGTATTATAGTGTATAACATCTTCCCTTTCTATTATCAACAGACACAATTTTTTTTTCCCTAGAGCATCTGCAGCATTATGATAAATAGCACTGCAGACATCTCTTCAGGACAGCCCTCTAGAGCAACCGTGAGCTTTTGCTAACAAAAGCGCTTGCTGTAATGCTGCAGTCCTCTTGTTACAAGGATGTTAAATGCCTCTCACTGCATACAATAGTTGCAGGTCATCTCTGTGATTGTCCTGCAGTGTGTCCCTTTCCTTTTCCTGTCCTTCCTCCATGTACAACACCACTCCCTTAAGATCATGTTTCTTTTACTTGCTTAAATTATTATTTCAGAGCTCTGTATTTCAGGAAGCGTTTGTGACTGCCTCTCCTTCTCCAGTTCACTCACTTTTCTTTTCACGTGTCCCTCTGTCCTTGTGGAGCATTCCACTGTCTGTCTGTACTTCCTGTCTCACTAACTTCTCACCTCTCTTGTTTTCCTTCCTCCCACCCAAGCCTGAAGGAATTGAGAAGGAAACAGTCCAGAACTCTGTGCTCTGTGTAAAAGGTAAAGCCCTCTCTCCCCACCCTCTCCATTTTTTTCTGTGTGGTTTGGTGGGTGGGACATGCCTGGAGGAGGAAGATAGTCCTGCCTCTATCATATTCCAGATAGGCTGATATTTTTCGGTAATCAAAACATGCCCCATCAGTTGGGAGCCTGAGATGTAAGACAGAAGAAAGCCCTAAAGAATGGACCAGCCTACCTAAAGCATCAGGGTACGACCTAGGACAGATTTAGCATGACTGTTTGCGTCCCTGTTCTCTTGTGTGCTGACAGTGGAATTAGAAGGGCTGTCTCTTGTTTTCTAGCGCACCCAGGAAAAAGCTGTAGAGATGTGATCTACAGTGTCTAACAGTGGCTGGGAGTGGTTTCATGTGGGGATTGCCCTATAGCCAGGGGAAAATGAAGTGACTGAAATCAGGGCATTTCTAAAAGGAAATGTTCCTGTTGTTTCACTGAGGCCCCCTCCCCTTCCCTTAGCCATTTCTTGGGGCAGCACTGAAGCTGTTTGGGTCTTGTTTCTCTTTCAGGAACACCTGTGAAAGAGAAGTTTTCCCTGATGCTACCCTCAAATGTGGTACAAGACTCAGGCAGAGCATATTTCTCAGTGCTGGGTGAGTGAGCAGCCTGAAAGAAGAACCATGTGCTGTTTCTGCCCCTCTGTGTTGGCCTCCTACCTCACAGCTTTTTCTCCTGGTTTCCAGCACACCTCACTCCGGTCTTTCATGCCTTCTGTCTCAAACATGTTCCCTTCCAGTTGTGCTCTTCCTTTTCCCCTTTCTGCATGTCCTTTTGTTCAGGGTTCTCTGCCAGTGCCATAGCTTTTCTCTCATTTCCCTCTTCCTTTTCTCTGCTGTTCTGTGTTTCATTCCAGGATCTTTATCAATCCAGATTTTCTTTTGTTCTTCTCTGTCATCTCCTGCTTTGTTCAGTAGCTCCTTCTGATTCTGACAGCCATCCCTGAGTGTTGTTAATATCCCTCCGGTATCTCCTGCTCCCCAGGCGACATCATGGGCACAGCCATGCAGAACCTGCACCAGCTCCTCCAGATGCCATTCGGCTGTGGGGAGCAGAACATGGTCCTGTTTGCACCCAACGTCTATGTCCTGGACTATCTGAACAAGACAGGGCAGCTGAGCGAGGAGGTCAAATCCAAGGCCATCGGATACTTAGTGAGCGGTGAGTTGGGACATGGCTTTTGCTTCTCTGCTCTGGCTTTTTTTCTAGATCCTGCCTGGGGTGGTTCTGTCAAATGTTGTCCAGATGTGGATGTTGTCCAGCTTGTCTCATGCAGAGATGGTCTCTGCTATATGCCCGAGAGGGCCCTTTGCTGCTTTTTCCTTTATCATTTTGTTGCTTAAGCATTGGGGTATCTGATCATTGCACCCACTTTTCTCTGCTCCCTGATTGGGTTGCAATGCAGTGCAGAGTTGTCAGGTGTCCTGCTACAGTGACTTGTCCATTGTCACTAATATGCCCTGCCCTCCTTCTGAAGAGAGGCAGGTGTCACTTCTCCTCGTGCAGTACAGGCAGTGCATGGAGGTGGGGATGTACCAGTACTTCTCATGGGCTAGGATAGGACTGACCTACCCCTCTCTCCTTTACCTTTGCTGATACAGCTGCTTTTCTGTTCCCCCATCCCTCAGCAGACTTGCCCTGGCATCTGAAACTTGCTTTAACTCTCCATTGCAGGTTATCAGAGGCAGCTGAACTACAAGCACCCAGATGGCTCTTACAGTACCTTTGGACCACGTTATGGACAACCGGGGAACACCTGGTGAGATTTCAATGTCACTTATGCCTTCCCTATATGCTCCTCTTTCTCACCTACACATTCATAATAAATGCCGTGTGACAGTAAATAGGAAATGCTGTTGTAGACCAGCAGGCTTTCCAGAGCTGGTGTGGTCCCTATGCTGCCTCCTACTTAATGAAATAGGCTGCATCATCCAGTTATATAGCTGAAGCACATCCTCCCACCAGCAGCTCTGAGGACCATGACAGACAAGAAGGAAATGGAGATAAATCGGGGAAGAAGGGAGCAGGGACTTCACATCCTGACTGAGGAGGGCTGAAGAGTTGCAGTGGCAGCTCTTCTAGACTAGCATCTGCTGAGAAGGCTGCTGCTGGGAAAGGTGTTTCTGTGTCAGTGGAAAGGATGATAATCCAAGAGCAGTTTTATTTTCAAGAGTGTTTGTGTGTTACTAAGCAAAGACAGCCATGATGAGTGTCTGTGTTACTAGTGTGAGTTACTGCAAAGTTTTGAGTTGCTCCAGCCTATCATTGCCATGCATTTTCAACTTTAGGTAAGAATGAATGATTTCATCACCTTCGGTTTGCTTTTAGTTTCTGAAACAGTACTTGGCTCTTGACAGCATGTTGGCTTCTCACCACATGCCTGCTTCTTCTCTATAACTGCCGGTAACAACTTCAGCAAAAACTCTTTCAACATGTTCTTTATTTTAAAACTCTGGGGAGTTCTGGGAAACCCATGAGGCATGGATTTCTAGTGCAAGAGTCCAGCCAACAGACCATGAGCTAGCAGGAATTTAATTATTCTTCCCTGCCATTTTGAGTGTTACTGTTATGCAGATGTTGAGATAATTGGCATGCAATTCCTTACTTTTTCTGAAGAGGTTTTTAGATACAGATCAACAATCACTGTCCTTCAAACTGTAGCCTCAACACAAAGGGATCACAGGGTTTTATGAGCCAAAAGAGGCACAAGAAATCAAGCTGGGAAGCAGGTTTTTTGACAGATTTTTTAAGATGAAGATGTAATATACATGTGGCCTAACTAATTGGCCCACAGTTCCCCAGATCTTCTTGCCTTTCTCCAGACAGATGATGTGCACCTGAGGTGGACAACAGGCTTGCTCAGGCCCTTTCACTGCTCTTTCTCTCTTTCAGGCTCACAGCCTTTGTCCTCAAGTCTTTTGCCCAGGCCCGGCCTCACGTCTTCATAGATGAGAAGCACATCCAGGATGCTCTGGTCTGGCTGTCCTATAAACAGAAGGAGAATGGCTGTTTCCGTAGTTCTGGGAAACTCCTGAACAATGCTATGAAGGTAACATGTCTGCCTGGTTGGTTTTCTGTGAGGCTAAAACTTGACCATAAGTCAGATGGGTCCTGTTGAGCTTCTTGAGCATAGAGGCAGATGGGAAATTCCCATGACAATGGCAAGAACTAGGAAGCCAGAGGCCATTCTGTATGATTGCCACAATAGGAAGGAGAATGAAGGCTAACCTGCACTTTATGAGTGGTATTGATACCTCCACATCAGTTGAAAGGGAGAGGAAGCAAGCTACAATGCAGAATAAAGTATTCCCACTGGAGTGGGAGAAAAGACTGAAGATAAGAAGCTAGGTGGGGTCAGCATCTACCTTTGTGTTTCCCTGCAGGGTGGAGTGGACAACGAGGTCTCGCTGACGGCCTACATCACCATCGCATTGCTGGAGATTCCGCTGCCTGTAACCGTATGTGTCTGCACCCTGACTTGAGTCAGTCATGTTGTATCAGTCTATGATGACACAGTACTGCCCAGAATTTGCTCCAGATTGGTTGTGATATAAGAATTACGTGCTGTCAATTTCAGCATTTCTGGAACACGTTGTACCTCACTTGTTCCTAGATCTCATTCTGGCAGACCCCTCCTCACAGTTCACTGGAATGATGTGTCAATACTAAGGCAAAAACTTCATTTCTCCCCAGCCTTCTAATCACTGGTTGTCTCTCCCCAGCACTCAGTGGTGCGTAACGCTCTGTTCTGCCTGGAAACAGCAGCAGCAGAGAAAGAAAACCACGTGTACACCAAGGCCCTGATGGCGTATGCCTTTGCCCTGGCAGGGAAGGAGGACAAGCGGAAGGCATTGCTTGGCTCACTTGAAAAGGAAGCCGTGAAAAAGGGTGAGTGCTCCCGGTGGGACGTGCCTTTCTTCCATCTCACTGGCCTTACATCTTCCCTCGATAAAATGGCTTTTACTGGTGGGGCAATGGCTGCAGGCAATGGCTTCTGTGGGTGGGGAAAGGTGGAGGGAGAGGAAAAAATTGTGCAAAGGCGTTGTGTCTTTGAGAACTCCCTCTCGGTGCCCAGTCCTACTTCTCTGCTCCCAGGGAGTTCATCAGGAAGCACCAGGCACCATCCCCATTGGGGCTGAACTGAAGGGGAGCTCTGCTAGCGTCTCTCCTCGCTCCGCTCCTCTTCCCACACCAGGCACTGCTTAGCAAAGACTGAGCAATGCTTATGGCCACTCCTTCCTTCCAGCACACGTGCTCAACGTAGAGCAAAGCTGACCTTGCACAGCACAAGGGACAATAAATCAGAGAAGAGCTGCATGTGCTGAGAGAGAAAATGAACATACAGGTTATTTCGGAGGCCATAGCATAAGCTCTGAGTCTTCCAGGAAGTCACCTAATGACTCTGAAGCGCTCTGGTAAAGTCAGGCTGGACAGCGGGTTTGCCCAAGCATTGGGTGTCAGGGTTGTGGAGGAAATATCCCCAGCACCTTTTGCCTTTTCCACCTGCAGGTGACTATCAAGCCCTGCTCACAGTCGTTGGGTCATTTTGCGTGACAGAGCTTGTCACTGCCCAAGCCCGGCATCTCTACTCAGCAAGGGAAGTAGTGCCAGCCTGGTGCTCTGCTGGTGCTCAAGCCCATAAATGCCTCCACGAATCTGGAGTCTAGGACAAAGTGGTACCCAGGCCTGAGGACTGAGCCTCAGCAGTCTCGGAGTAGTTGCAGCAAGCAAAGAGTTGCCTAACCCTTCCCATTTCATCCTGCATGACAGATTTGTCCTGGAGGCTCTGTCCTCCCAACTGGATCGTCAGCAGATCAAGAACTGCCTTTCGGTAACTACTACTAATTGCTTGTTGTCTTGTCTCCACGATCCCTGCCTCCCGTGAAGATGGGTCTGTTCATTGGCAGCGGCCTGGGAAAGAGCCAGAGGTGGATCTCCCGTATTATCGCTACCGAGCTCCCTCTGCTGAAGTGGAGATGACAGCCTACGTGCTCCTTGCTTACCTCACCACACAGCCGGCACCTTCCCAGGAGGAGCTGTCATTCGCATCTCTTATTGCAAAGTGGATCAGTGGTCAGCAGAATCCCAGTGGAGGCTTCTCCTCCACCCAGGTGAGCTGCTTCCCTCCTGCAACCTCACACATCGATGTTGGAAGAGAAGTGTCAGAGACCCCAGTGGGAGCACAGCAAGGTTCACCAGGGCAGGGGCTGTACCCCTGTGGAACGTCCCTGCAGTATCTACCGTGGTTGCCAAGTTCCCAAGAGGCTAGAGGATGGTAGGTCAGGTCGTGCCTCTGGGAATGGACGATACTGTGGTTAATGACCTACCTGGTTTTCTTGACACAGCGGGACAAAATGCTAGGGACACAAGGGACGTGTGCATGTGCCGTTGGAGGGGGCTCCCACTGCAATTTGTTTGTGCATATGAAGTCGCTGCTTCAGCCCGTGGCTGGCGAGCGAGCGAGTGAAGGCTGCGCAGAGCTCCACACCAGGGAGCTTGGGGAACGTGCAACTGCTGTGCAGAGGACACGGGAAGGGGATGGAGAGATGCAAAAGCTGCTCTTTCCCGCTCTCCTTTGTACTTCAAACTGGAGAAAGTGAAGAATGGAGGGGAGGATGCCTGCCGGCAGCGAAGGGCAGGCTGTGGGAGGACAGGCTGTGCAAAGGCTGACTGTATTCCCCTGGGTGTCGGGACCCATCTCTTTCAGGACACAGTGGTGGCTCTCCAAGCCCTGTCCCTGTATGGAGCCGTCACCTATGCCAAGAGCGGAGCAGCTTCCACAGTGACCCTGCGATCTGGAGGGGACTTCCAGCAGGACTTCCAAGTGGATCCCACAAACCGGCTGCTGCTCCAGCGCGTGCCCCTGCCCCAGGTGCCAGGGGAGTACAGCACGGAGGTGTCTGGCGAAGGATGCGTCTACCTGCAGGTGAGGGTGATGGGGGTATCTGGCACCCTGGGAGGAGAGCCCCTTGCTGGGCAGGAGCCAGGGAGAGGGCAGAAGGGGCAGAGGAGAGGGAAGGAGTGGGAGGGAAGGCTCTGGGAGGGGGAGGGAATGAAGAAGAGTGGAGGCGTGTGGAGGAGAAAGAGTGGGAGGGAGGGATCCGCAATGCGGAAGAGCTGTGAGAATGGGAGAAGCGTCGAGGCAGGGTGGGAAGAGGATGGTCTTCCTCACATGCTGAGCACACACACACATGCTCACACGGAGCTGCTGGCTCTCCCCTAGACAAGCCTGAGGTACAACGTGCAGCCCACGCAGGAGGATGCACCCTTCACGCTCCACGTGTACACGATCCCAGAGACATGTGAGGACTCCAAGGCTCACAAGGTCTTTGACATAGGCATAAATGTCAGGTGAGTCTGCATTTGGGTCTGAGCCCTCCTGAGAAGCCACGGGAGGCGGAGGAGGTCTGGTGGTCCAGGGTGAGCCAGTCTGGAAGCCCTGGAAGGGCAGTGCGTCCCTGGAAAAGTGGACAGGAAGCAGCTGGGCTGGGAGGAGGGGCTGTGGAGGAAAGACATGTCCCCCAGTGGTGGAGCTGTGTGGGCAGCCCAGGGCTGGGCTAGGGTGAGGCTGCATAGGTTACCAGGAGGCCCTGGCATAGCTGGAGAAGGTGGTGCTGGATTTCCAGGAGGTGGTGGGGTGCCAAGGCTTATGGAAAACTTGGAAGTGCCCCCAGCTTTGACTTGAGGTGCCCTGAATCTTTGTTGCTTGGTTCCTTAGTTACACTGGGGAGCGCAATGGCTCCAACATGGTGATTGTTGATGTGAAGATGCTGTCGGGATTCATCCTTGTGAAATCCTCTGTGAGGAAGGTAGGAGCCTTTTTGTTAAAGAAGCAACATCCACTTTCTTATCTTCAAGACACTTTCTAAGTGTTTCTACCAAACTAGGGGGCTTCATGATTGGAATCAGTATTGGATCTTGCCATTGTCATCTGCACATTTGCCATGTTCTCTTGTCATACCTGGCTCAAGGGCAGCAGAATGGCAGACTGTGATGAATCTAGGAAAAACAAACGACGTAATTTTTTCTTTAGACTGGTGATGGGCGCCTTTATTATTACTGTGTCTCAATAGCTCCCTATATGCTTTGTCTGTGCATAGCACATTCAAAAGTAATGCTGTTTCCTTTTCCCCTCTGCTGATCTGACAACACCTTATAGCACTGTAACTGTTTAGGTCTTGGGCCACAGTTTGAGATGCTGAGATAGTGCATAGTCTCGAAAATAAAGGCAATCTTAAGATACTGCAGATCTAGCAAGCCAGAAAGAATGTATTTTCATTGAATCGTTCCATCACTGTGCTTGAACTAGTGCTCAGTCTCTGCTGGAGCCAAGCTGTACTCAGCCAGGCTGGCGAAGGGAAGGCCTGGGGACCTTGATACCTAGTGGCACACCAGGGAGGCAGTTCCATGCTGCAGACTTAGTTCCCCGAGTAACCCCAGTGTTCCATGCATAATACCACCCTCAACACAGTAACATCTTGGTCTTCTTCCTTCAGCTGCAAAGCCGACCTGTTATTGAGCGCACAGAGCTGACTACCAACCATGTCCTGGTATATCTGGAAAAGGTAATTATCTGTCTGAAGCGAGGATGGGTACAGAAACACTGGCATTGGGACATATGGCCACATAGGGCAAAAGATCTACTCAAAACTACCATGATTCTGAGAATAAGACTGAATCATATACTGACCTTTGCTGACCTTTCAGACTTACTGGCACTTTCCTCACAGCCCTCAGCACGGTTTCCCTCCACCCTGCTCACAGAGCGGGCCCTGACCTCCCCACCCACCAGAGCCTCCCCCAGCATGGGGAAAGGCCCCAGGCCTTGCCCTTGCCCCTCAGCCAGGCCTGCAGCCCCCACACCCACCAGGGTCCAGGCCTGGCTGGCAGGGGAGAGTGAGGGAGCCCGGGGCAGTGCGGAGGCCTGGGGGGAGCCCGGGGTGGTGAGAAGCCACCCCTGAGCCCCCACCGCTTCCCTTCCCCAGCTGAGCAGCGAGACCCTCAGCTTCTCCTTCACGGTGGAGCGGGACATCCTGGTGCAGGGCTTGAAGCCAGCTCAGGTGAAGGTCTATGACTACTATGAGACAGGTGAGTGCGGGGCCGGGGGTGCCCGCGGGATCGAGGGTGGGCACTGGGACGCGGGGAGGGGCGAGGCAGAGGGTGGAGGAGACCAGCCCCACAGCCCCCGACCATGGCGCCTGCCAGGCCACCCCTGCCTCCCTGGGGACAGGAGCCATCCCACGGGGCAGAGCCACAGGCGCTGGGGGTCCCCCGTTCAGGTCCGGCCCCAGAGCACAGCCGTGCCCGTGCTTCCAGGCAGTCCCGACTCTCCTCGTGCCGCTGCCAGCCCAGCTGTTGCGCCAGGGCGCTGATGACTGCCACCCCCCCGCCTCAGTGGGCCAGCAGGAGGTCCCTGAGCAGGCCTTGGGCTTGCTGGGGTGGAGCCCTGTTGGAACCACGGGTGCTGGGTGGCTCTGCCTTGCTGCTGTGGCCTCTGGGCAGGGCCGTAACTGGGGCTCCCTCCCACCCAACTGGGACCTCGGGGGGACGGGGGGTGTAAGTTGGGGCTGGTGGCAGTGGTCTGCAGTGGGGCCTGGGAGATGTCTCCCTGGCACCCGTCCCTCCGCCAGGAGTGCTGAGGGGCTCTGACAGCCCACTCTCTCCCTTCCCTTCTGTTTTCCAGATGAGTTTGCCACACAGGAGTACAGCGCTCCCTGTGCCACAGGTAGGGTGCACAGGAACAACTGAGATGTTCCAGCGTTGCCGGTTGTCTTGAATGAGAGTCTGTGCAGACCTGGCTTTCCACAGCCTGGGTGTACTCTCAGCATTTATCTTCACTGTACCTATTGCATGTGCCTCAGTTACAGAGAAGAAAAGCAATGCTGCCACCCCATGTCCTGTGTAAGATCAGATACCACTTTCGTTTTGTTTCACTGAGAATGGCAATCCCAGTGTTACTTACTGGCTTCATTCGCAGAGACACATTTGTCTTTTCTGCATTTGTGCCTCACATTGTACAAATGAGCTTGAAATCTCCCTTGGGACTGAACATCACACTCAGCATCTGCATCTCTGCCCTTTTCAGGGCCACATTTGCCATGCTTCAGACACAGAAGGGTACTAAGAAATTGTCTCCCAAATGTCTTGGTGAAATTTTGATGTTATTCACGCGTGGGGGCCTTTCAGACTCTGCCCTGGGTTATTTTTTCCTTTCCTTTGAGAAATCCACATGCTGAGAGAGAATGTGTACTGGGATAGCACATGTGTCTTCAGGATACCTCTGCCTCCCCTCCCCTCTATGTAGCATGGATATTTTGAACATGTCCAGCCATTCCCATTGTTATCTGTCTGCAACCGGCATTTTTAGGTGAAGCAGTTTCCCAGATTCTAACAGGGCTTGAACTCACATAGCTACGAGAACAGAGAAGATGTCCAGGGCTCTGGACACAGCTTCACCAGGATACTTACCTCACTGTCCTTTTCCCACCTCCAGCCAACGTTGAACAGGGAAATGCCTGAAGAGCAATCTTGTCTGAGCCTTGCTGGATCAGCTTGCGTGTCCCTGCCCCTAGAAGATCTTGTTGAGGGGGCTGTTGAAATGTTAGAGGAGGACACCTCAACATCGAAAAGGAAGTAACACTATAAATAAATTAAGGTTTCATTCTCATCAGATGCCTCTGGACTTACATTTTGTTACTGCATCTTCTCTCTCCTCCCGTCCATAGCTCAGACTGTGTAATGGCCCTAAATTTAAATCTGGAGACATCCACGGCAAGGCGGTGTTCGGCAGCTCCTCAGGAATACCACGAGGCAGTCAGTTCTTGGTGGTGTGGAGGTTTGCCTCTGTACTTGCCAGTTCTCCGGGAGGAGCCTGAATCCTGTATGATCCATCCATCTGTGGAAGCTTGTCTCCCTGCCTCTGAAAGTGGGTGTTTTCTGCAAGATAATCCTTAGACATAAGCCTGAGATCACATATCGCCTTTGATAGCACTGTGAAATCACTGCTGTGAGGTGGAAGGACAGTGTGAGCCTGCCCAGTCTAATCTGTCACAGCAGGCCAGACAGAAGTGAAGGGAAAACCTGTTGACTTTCCCATTCTGGCAGGGAAGACATTGTCTGCTTGTTTCTAAGCAGTCGAAGTGAAATCAGAGAGGGACTGAGAACAGTTCATTAGTCAGAATTTAAAACAAGAACCACACAGTTCCCAGCTTAGACCATTAGTTAGTTAAGGGCAAGCAGGTTCAAAAGTGTCAGGTCTGCAAACTTGTGCATACAGACACAGGTCTGCAAACACAGACCCTCCTTTGTGGCTGGCTGTAGATGGATGGCAACAGCTCCTGCATTTTCATTTACTTTTTGGCGAATGCTCTACTATGGTTATGGTGTTGAATCTTTTCTGCCTCAAATGAAACAAAGTGATCATCATGATAATTTAATTTAAAGGTCTGTAAAATCACTGGAGTATGCTCCATTCACAGAATTTGGATAATGGCTTTCTATCATGGAAAGAGTTAACCCTATGTTTTGCTGCCACCAATTTAACAATTGTTAGATTTGACAATGCCTAACTGTTGCTCATGGGCAGCCACATCACTCGTTATTTGGGACTCCCTGGCTAGCCTGTATCTGTAAAGCAGGTTAACATCTCTCTGCTTGACTAGGCTGTGAATCACCAAAGCCACATACCTGCAGCTCCTCCATGGCACACCGTGCAGGGAA